GCTATGTGGACCATAAAACCTTTAGTATGTAAAACGCATATGTTTAGTAAAATATAACTAAAGTACTTCTGTAAAGCTCTCAGAATTTCCTCAGCCAGGATTCCTGGAAAGTGGAAAGAAATGTTTTTAACATTAAGAAGAAGGTGACTGCCCCGGCCAGGTATCTCAGCTGGTTGGAGCATCATCCATATAACAAAAAGGTTGCGGGTTTGATTCCAGGTCAGGACACGTACCTAGGTTGCAAGTTCAATCCCCCGTTGGGGTGCTTATGGGAGTCAACTGATCGCTGTTTCTCTCCCTTCCTCTCTCTAAAATTAATAAACATATCCTCAGGTGAGGATTCCAAATATATGTATGTATTTTTACACAAAAGGAAGAAGGAGGTGACTGTTTAGAAAGGTTCCATTTGGTTCCCTTGTAAGAGGAAGAGGCCATGCCGGCAAGCCCGTGACTGAGCTCTCGTGCTGGCCTCGCTGCGTGATTGCTGACAGCACAGTGTTCCCTGCCTGTGTGTGTTCCATGCAGATCTCATCACTGTTGGTCAATACTCTTTCCTTTTCAAATGTGTCTTTGTGTAGAAGTGGGAGAGGCAGACACTCTATTGGGTTTATGTTATGGAATGTAATATTTTCAGAAATAGGACTATTTTAATAGGACAGTAGATCAAATAAAAGGGAGGAGTTTCCACTATTTAGAGATCAGAGTAGCGGAAGGAAGCTCAGGTTACCACAGAAATTGCAGCAGCTTCTTCAAGGGAAAGTGTGATCTCAAATCAAGATTTGTAAAGAAGGCGGGCGTGCTGGGCTATGTGTAGGAGGAAATGCCTCTTTCTCGAAGACTAGTAAGCACCTCACTAGAAATTTAACTGAAGGGGCCCTGCCAGCAGGAGTCAGCCTCTCTGCTACATGGGACAACCACAGACACACGCGCAGTAAGTTATTCAAAACCTTGCTCCCAGCGATCACTTACAGCTCTGCATTTCACTGAGAGGCAGGCATGTCAGCGGGAGCAATGGCATTGGGTTGCGCTTCAGTCACTTGTTCACTTTTGCAATGGCATTTATGTTCTCATGAGTACTTTCCTATTATCAGCCATAGAAGGTTTAAAATTTTTAGAAAATTTCTGTGTGTTGAACCAGAGTTTTAATGAAATTTTGTAAATTATTAACATGAGTAATTAGGTGAAACATTGCTGGGGTCCAACCCCAGCAGGTCCAGGGGTCCCCAAAGGTGTGGACAGAGTCGGCGATGAGGGAATGACACAGAGACAGCGTTCAGTTGATCAGCAGCCTAGCTAGGATCTCTAGCCAAGTTCTGGTCAGGATCTCCAGCCAAGTTCTGGTCAGGATCTTTAGCCATGTTCTCTCGCTAGGTTCTCCAGCCAGGTTCTCCAGGTTCTCCAGCCAGGTTCTATCCAGGTTCTCCTGCCATGTTCTGTGTAGGTTCTCTCGCCATGTTCTGTCTAGGTTCTCCAGCCAAGTTCTGTTGCCAGGTTCTGTCCAGGATCTTTTGCCATGTTCTCTTGCTAGGTTCTATCTCTAGGTTCTGTGTCTAGGTTCTGTGTTCTGTATTTATACCAGTTGATTTTAATCCTGTCAATTTCTATTGCAAAGGTTAGGGCGTTTCTTATCTCCATTCCAGGGAGTAAAGATTATGTAGGTTAAGCGTGATTGTTTGTAGTTAAAGTGATTAACTACCCGCCTGGCACTTAGTTAAGGGGTTGTATCCCCTCCCTAACCTCAGGGAAAAATCCCTACCTGGGGAAACAACCTTTCTCGGAGAGGTGACCTTGGTTAAAACACATAGCGCTAAGAAGGGGAGCAAACATATTAAGAACAGTATGCCATATACGCCAGGTCCCTTGAAACATATGCTGTGCAGATGTTTCTTTCCTGCAGCGACTGTGTCAAGCAGCAAGGATGGACCGGCTTCTGGCAAAACATAAGTGGTTTTTGTTTATAGTTTAACAATTCTTTTTTAATATGTGTATTTTTATTATTATTACTGATTTCAGAGAAAGGAAGGGAGAGGGGGAGAGAGAGAAACATCATTGATGAGAGACAATCATTGATCAGTTGCCTCCTGCACGCCCCACAGTGGGGATTGAGCCGGTAACCGGGGCATCGGACCGTGATCTCCTGGTTCATGGGTTGACTCTCAACCACTGAGCCACACCACCTGGACACAGTACTTTCTCTATATCTGAGAAGGCTACTCTCTAGAAAATGGATGAAAATCAATATGAGACCACTCCCTTTCTTTTTTCTCTTTCCTATTAAAAATACATGGCAACACTCACTTAGCATACTCTGTGCTATACAGTCCTAGCAATTTACATGCATTTGGTATCCTCACAAGAGCCCTGAGAGCTAGGTTTATTATTACACTAATTTTTAAAGGTGACGAAATTGGGGCCCAAAAAGGGATAAGTAACTTGCCGAGGTCACACACCTGGTAAGCAGTAGAGCTAGAATTTGAATCCATATTCTGGCTCCAAAGTCCAGTTTTTCATCACTCCTTGTAATTGCCCCATATACTGTAATTACCTTTTGCAAAATGTTTGTTTGCCATGAGCTTTTTATTAAGAATTTATAATTTGATCAACTTGAATTGATTTCAAATTATCACTAAAATGTGTGCTTTTTAAAAAATTAAATAGGCATGCAATTTTTCCTTTTATTCAGTTCCAATCAAGATTGGAGTTCCAATTAAGCTCTCTTTATAGATCCTCATTATATTATAGGATTTGGCACATACTTGCTTGGTCTGGATATTAGGCAGACCATGAAAATCTAACTTTATTTTACACTTATAAAAGAAGACTAGATAGTTTTCAAGCATTTGCAAAATACAGAACTTTGAGTACTTAGTTTGTTTATTTAGTAAAGTATAGTATAGTCTTTTCTTTTTAAAGTAGTCTAATGCTAAATTTTATAAAAATACATAAGCTAATACCTAGTATCCATTTCCTTGCTCCCTCATCCCTGCGCACTGTACCACCACCAAAGCAAGATCCAGCTTTCACCTTGTAGGCGTTTTGTCTTGTTTTAAAATAGTGGACTTATTGTTATAATTAACATATAGCCTTGACTTCTTTGCACAGTCTGGATTTAAAATAAATTGAGGACCTCTAAACTGTGAGAATGCTCTGGACATTTTAATATATAAAACATTCTATTTCCATGAATGAGTATTTGTGAAATGTTTATTTCATTCAACAAATATTGATCACAGGCTTTGGCCCAGCCCTGGCGCTAGTAAGGCAGTCTGGACACCCTTCTAAGACTCTTCTACTAAAGAGAAGAAACTCAGGGCTCTCTTCTTGTGGGAGGCCACAGCTCTTTGCCTACACCTTGATGATAGTAGTGCCTACAGCCTACTTGATATTGTCATCCTGTATGTGTTGTATCCTCATAACACATCCCCACTAGTTTGTGAGTTTTCTGGAAATAAAAACTGTGACCTAATAAGGTTTGTGACTTATTTGTACTGAGTGCTCAGCAAATACCAGTGGTTTGTTCAAATAAGGTGGTGAAGCACAGGTGAAAAGATCAGAGTTCCACTCCCTGAGGGCAGGGATGCCTCTGCCTGTTTTGTTTGCTGCTGCATCCCCGGGGGGTCTAGTACAGTGCCTGGGTGTAATAGGCGCTCAGTCAACAGAAGGCAGAATGCATTCAAGTAAATGGAAATTTAGATTTGGGTTCAGGCTACCTAGGGACACAAGTTAAAGGCATTTAGTGATTAATTTAACGAGTGTTTCTTCTGGATCACCTTGTGCTGCAGACTGTGCTAGGCATCAGAGGTACAAGTCTTGGCCAAGACAGATTCTTGTATCAGAGAAATAGATCAGATTTCCAGTGAGAGTTCTGGAGGAATGGCCGCAATGTGGAAAGGTGGATTGAGCACGAGGATCTTCCTGCCTGCTACTTCTCTCCACTGTCTGCAAGTTGACACTCGGGGACCAGGAGTGGGTGGGGTCACAGGAAGCAAGCCAGAGACAGAGGGGTCCGGGGCGCCAGGCACTGCCTGGGCTCAAAAAGGATATGGAGTGAGGAAAGTTCATTAGAATGTGTAGATAAACTAGCATCTTCATTCATATGTACTGAAATGTTAGTATACGGTTACAGAATTATTTGTTTCTTTAAAAAGCTCTGACATTTTAGGTACCTGAAATTTTTTTTAGTGAACTTACTGCAGTTTAAAGACTTAAGAGAAAGAGCATAATCTAGACCAGTGATGGCGAACCTTTTGAGCTCGGCGTGTCAGCATTTTGAAAAACCCTAACTTAACTCTGGTGCCGTGTCACATATAGAAATTTTTTGATATTTGCAACCATAGTAAAACAAAGATTTATATTTTTGATATTTATTTTATATATTTAAATGCCATTTAACAAAGAAAAATCAACCAAAAAAATGAGTTCGCGTGTCACCTCTGACACGCGTGTCATAGGTTCGCCATCACTGATTCTAGACTCTAGATTCTAGAATGTTGTTAGGCTGCTTTGGGGAGAATGGGACAGAGTAAGGATCACCTTAGCTGGGTTTGAGTCTCTTGGCTCTATTGCCTACTGGCTTAGTGTGGTGAGCACCTTTACTCGACCTTTCTTTGCCTTAGTGTCCTCATCTGTGAAATGGGATGATAATAGTGCCCATCCCATAAGATTAAATGGGAGAATACCTTCCTTGTAGGATTAAGAAAAATAATGAGTGCACGGGATGTGCTTAACACTGTGCCTGGCCAGCTGTTTAGTAAATATTTGTTATTGTTCTTAATTCTATTCCTATCATTGCCCAGAGGCTCCCTGCCCTACCTGTCACCCTCAGAACAGCTGGACCTGGAAGGGTGGCTGAGTAGGAGCAAATGATCCTACTGACTGAGATGATTGAGTCTGTGCCCAGTTAGCAGTCCTGCTAGTCCAGTAAACGCAGGGCTTCCCTTTGTTGATGTGCTTCCCGCTATTCTTTGTTCAGTTAACTAACTAAAACTGTTGTTGTTTAGCTACACGAAAGCGGATATGATGCCGGCAAAGCCCTGCAGCGCCTGGTCAAGAAGCCGGTGCCTAAGCTGATCGAAAAGTGCTGGACCGAGGATGAAGTGGTAAGCTCGGGCAGAGCGGGCCTTGTGGTCAGGTCATTGGGTGTTTGCTTCTCCCCGTGTGACCTCCTGCTGCTCCGGGGAAAGGGGCTCATTCCAAGGACTCAGTCACGTGACCAGACCGGCTGAAGCATCCATCGGGCAAGGGAAAGAGCCTTTAAGCTTCAGGTTGTACAGAAAGGTTTGATTTTAGTAAGCTGGGGTTCCATAGATAATGGTAATGATTTTCCCAGGTTTCATGGAAAGAGAGAGGAAATAGAGTTATTCTTTTAAAAAGTTTGTTGGTTGGTTGGTTTTTGGTGCAAGCTAGTGTTTGACACTTCCCTATTTTAAAACACAAGCATATTAAAACCAGTTGATACATAACCTAGAGTAGGGCTGGTGACTTTTTTATCTTTAAGGCTTGCTCAAATAAATACATTGGATCTTCCATATGTATTCTGTTATCATGGCCCTTAAAGAAGGTGAAGAGGTAGAAATGTGCACACAAATAGAGATTCACAAACCCACAGATTCTCATGAAGCAGGTCCCCATCTTGTGACTTTTGAAAGGCATTGCTAGAAAAAAGTTAAAGTGCCTGTGCTTTTGCCAATGAGTGTTACCTACCGCTTGACATTTGCCCTTTAGGTTGAGTGAAATTAAGAGAAGGCTGGCACTGTGACACACATTGATTGTACGTTCCTCACCTGTATTTTAAAATGCGCTAAGAAAGTGTGCTTAGAGATTTTATGCGCTTTCATGATCCTGCTCTTTCATTTTTTCAGCACTGTTTGTTGAGTGCTTATAATGTGTCAGGAGCCATATGAAGAACACAAGGTCCCTCCTCACAAGGCTTATGTTTTAAGAGAGAGACCACCGGTAAATCAGTATGTGTCAAGTGGTGGCATGTGTGCCGAGGTCTGAAGATCGGGGATACCCTGGGGCGGGGTGCTTGCTGTCTTTTGTAAGGGGCTCAGAAAGGCCTGGTAAGTACCACTTGAGCAGAGACCTTGGTGAAGTGAGGAGCTGAGCCTTTGGGATATCAGGGGGAATTCCGGGCCCTAAGGTGAAAAGCACACCCGGCACGTTCGAGAACTGAGTAGGAACACATTGTCTGGAGGTGGGTGGCAGGGGAGGGGTCTTGCAGGGGGCAGATCAGATGTGGCCAGTGGACCTACAGTCAGCACCTCGCTGTTTGCTCTGTAGATTCTGAGCCAAGGAGTTGCTCAGTCTGCCAGTGGGTGCACTGTGCTGAGTGGAGAGTGAGCTTTGGGGGCTGTTGTGGGAGTCCAGGTCCAAGACCAGGAATTGTTAATGCAGTGAGATCTCGGGTATATACTGAAGGTAGAGTATGAAAGTTTGTTCATGGTTGCCCGGGGAGCGGGGGTTGGGGGGGAGTTTGAGAGGAGTGGGAACATCTAGGACACAGCGGGGATGGACTGAAGTGGCCCTTGAAGGTTGGGTAATAGTAGTCCCTTAAGACTCTAAGTTTATCAAGTTTATCAGGCGTATATGAAGTTGGTGGTGCTGTTTGAAGTTAAAAATGTTTAAACCTTACATGATTATGAAAGTGATGGGGACATCTTAAGCATTTGAGATTGTTCAGACAATGACCAAAGTAAAGATGTTAAACTCACTTGTTTTGAAAAGTCATTTGATGTTGTTTTTCACTGTAGACCTACTTGGGTGAGGAGATAAGAGATTTGATTGATAAAACTTAAAATTCTACACTCCTTTGTAGAAGAAAGACACAAGGAGATGAAAAGGATGGAATGTGTAGAATGGGGCCAGTTACACACATGCGCGATAGTGGTTTCTCGTCCTTATTCTTCCTCAGTTCTGGAGCTTTTCCCTCCTTCCCATTTGGTCTCTCCTCTCCGCCACCTTGTATTCCTGAGGGCCCCTCCTTTTTCCATGCTTCCCCAGCTCCTTGCTAGTCGTGACCCACTTCTCTCTCCCTTAATTTCTGCCTTGACCTTTCATCCCCTTTGGAATTTTAAAATTCCAGCTTAAAAGAAAGCTCTTCCTGCTTAAAAGAAAGCTGGCTTCCTTTTCCTACAGCTTATATGGGGCCAATGTGGACTGTGTCCCCACCACTGCTGCTTGGGGACTTTTAGCAGAGAGTGGATGGGAAGGGGCATCTCACACACTGGAAAAGTCCAGCTCTATTTGAAAAACGAAACAGGACACCAGGGCGCTGTGCATTCCAAATACAGGGTAATGATACAGGGTCATGTTTCAGTGGGAGTTTTGAGATTTTTTTTCATTTATCTTTATTGTTGAAAGTATTACAGATGTTCCCTTTGTTTTTATTTTTCCCCCATTGACCCCCTCTACCCAGTACCTGGGTGATGCATATTTGTTTCCCCCCCCACCCTCCCCCTTCACCTTCCCTCTGAAATTCATCAGACTGTTCCATGCTTCTATGTCTCTGGATCTATTTTGTTCATCAGTTTATTTTGTTCATTAGATTCTACATTTGAGTGAGATCATGTGATACTTGTCTCTCTCTGACTGGCTTATTTCGCTCAGCATAATACTCTCAAGGTCCATCCATGTTGTTGCATATGGTAAGAGTTCCTTCTTTTTTACTGCTGCATATAGCATTCCATTGTGTAAATGTACCACAGCATTTTTACCCACTCATCTGCTGATGGGCACGTGGGCTGTTTCCAAATCTTAACTATTATAAATTGTGTTGCTATGAACATAGGGGTGCATATATTATTTCTGATAGGTGTTTGGGGTTTCTTAGGATATATTCCTAGAAGTGGGATCACTAGGTCAAATGGCAGTTCCATTTTTAATTTTTTGAGGAAACTCCATACTGTTTTCCACAGTGGCTGCACCCGTCTGCATTCCCACCAGCAGGGCACTAGTGTTCCCCTTTCTCCACATCCTCTCCAGCACTTGTTGTTTGTTGATGACAGCCATTCTGATAGATGGTACCTCATTATTGTTTTAATTTGCATCTCTCTGGTGATGTGATGTTGAACATTTTTTCATGTCTCTTGGCCATTTGTATGTCCTCTTTGGAGAAGTGTCTATTTAGGTCCTCTGCCCATTTTTTGATTGTATTGTTTGTCTTTCTTTTATTGAGGTGTATGAGTACTTCATGTATTTTGGAAATTAAGCCCTTATCAGATGTATAGTTGGTAAATACGTTCTCCCATGCAGTGGGCTCTTTTTTCACTTTGTTGATGTTTTTTTTTTGCTGTGCAGAAGCTTTTTATTTTGATGTTCCACTGGTTTATTTTCTTCTTAGTTTCCTTTTCCCCTAGGACAGTGGTCGGCAAACTGCGGCTCGCGAGCCACATGGGGCTCTTTGGCCCCTTGAGTGTGGCTCTTCCACAAAATACCACGGGCGGGCGTGCACGTACATTGCGATTGAAACTTCGTGGCCCATGCGCAGAAGTCGGTTTTCGGAAAGGAGATAGACAAAACAAGTATACAAGACGAGTGTGGATGGGAGAGTTGGAAAGGGTCGACCTCAGCGAACATACCTTAATCAGATTGAGGACGTTTTTAGCAAAGGCCAACTTAGGAGTACCCTAATTAAGTTAATAACAATGTACCTACCTATATAGTTTAAGTTTAAAAAATTTGGCTCTCAAAAGAAATTTCAATCGTTGTACTGTTGATATTTGGCTCTGTTGACTAATGAGTTTGCCGACCACTGCCCTAGGAGATGTATCGGTAAACATATTGCTACGAGAGATGTCTGAGATTTTGCTGCCTGTGGTTTCTTCTAAGATTTTTATGATTTCACAACTTACATTTAAGTCTTTTATCCATTTTGAGTTTATTCTTGTGTATGGTGTAAGTTAGTGGTCTAGTTCATTTTATTTTATTTATTTTTTTGGCATGGACCTGTACAGTTTTCCCAGCATCATTTATTGAAAAGACTGTCTTTACTCCACTGCATGCTCTTGCCTCCTTTGTCAAATATTAATTGAGTATAATGGCTTGGGTCGCTTTCTGGGTTCTCTGTTCCATTGATCGATATGCCTTTTCTTGTGCCAGTACCATGCTGTTTTGAGTACAGTGGCTTTGTAGTATAACTTGATATCTGGTATTATGATTTCTCCAACTTTGTTCTTTTTTCTCAAGATTGCTGTGACTATTCAGGCTCATTTTTGGTCCCATATAAATTTTTGGAGTATTTGTTCTAGATCTGTGAAATATGCCATTGGCATTTTAATAGGGATTGCATTGGATGTATAGATTGCTTTGGGTAGGATGGACATTTTAATAATGTTGATTCTACCAATCTATGATCCGAATGTTGTTACATTTCATGTTGTCCCAAAACTCCCTTAAACTCTCCTCCTGCTTTTTAATTATGTTTTTCCATTTGCTGCTCTGAATGTGTGTTTGTTTGTTTTTTCTACCTTGTCTTCTAATTTGCTGATTGGGTCCTTAGCTTCTTCTGGTCTACTATTGAATCCTTCCAGGGTGTTCATTATTTCAGCTATGTCATTCCTCATTTCCAATTGGTTATTATTTATTGTTTCAACTTCTCTTTTCATGTTGGTGTAGCTATCATTAAGTCCCTTATAATTCTTATTAAGTTGCTTGTAATTCTCACTGAGTTGTTTGAGCACCCTTATTACCATTACTTTGAATTCTTTATTTGACAAACTGCTTGCCTCCATTTCATTTAGGTCTTTTTCTGGCGATTCCTCCCTTTCTTTCATTTGGGAATTGTTTTTGTCTCCCCATTTTTGTCCCTTTGTTTTTGTTTCTATGTATTAGGTCAGACTGCTACACCTCCCAGACTTGGTGACATGGTCTTATGTAGTAGTTGTTTTGTGGGACCCAGTGGTGCAGTCTCTTAGACCTCCTGAGCTGGGTGCTCTAGGAAAGCCCCTGCCTGAGTGATTGGGTTCTCCTATTGTGGTTGCATCTTGAATGTTATTGTCTCTTTCGTGGATGGAATCTCCTCTCACTCTGGCTGACTATGTGGCTCAGCCCCGACCACACCGTGTGAGTTGTTGTGCAGGTGCTGACAGAATAGAACAAA